ATCCCTTATAAAACCTCACACCTTAGCCTCTTTCGACCAAATTCGCCTTACCCAAATCCTTCTTATCATTACTTTATCAATAGTAATACCCGTCCGACTGTAGTTAATTGTTATAGTGTTTAAAGTCTATAAATACAATTTCCACTATTAGTCGCTTAGTTTTCTTTGATTTCTTTAGAAGGTAAACCAAGGTTAACAACGTTATTCAAGAAAAGGGACTCTACTTTAATCCATAATTTAATACAATCAAAGGGACTTAAAAAGTTTTGTTGGAATCTTAGATGATCTAGAAAATAATATCAAATGAAGATTTTATAAATAACAACACTGTCTAACCTTATCAAAACCAATATACTTACTTGAAAAATAAACAAGTTTTAAAAATTTCTGAAAAATTTTTGTCTTATAAATTTTATGAATAGTTTTTAAAAAAGTTTGAAACAAGATTTAATTATTTAGATAAATAAACAAAATTATTTTATATTACATATTTAGTCTATTAAATAGAATATTATATTTTTTGTGATATTTTGTATAATAAAAATTTCGAAAATTTACAAAAAGTTTTTTGTAATATTCCATAAAAAATTAATGAAATTTTTTGATGTAAAAAATTTTAAAGATTTATAAAAATTTACAGAAATTTTGTACTTTGTAAATTTATGGAGTTATTCACCTTTAAAAATTTCTTGATGATGGATATGGATATTGAGATATAGATATCCATTTTTTTATAAATAAGGTCAGATACCATCTTGAAAGTATTAAAAATTATTTAATGATTTGCTATTTATTAGAAACTTAGATATTTTCTTTAAGACCAAAGCAATATCGAAAAGGAAAGTATTAAATTAGTTTTTCTGGATTTCAAAAATAGAAAACAAAATTATGAGGTTATTTTTTATACTGTGCATCTTGTACAAACCTAAATGTATAAAATATATAATATAAATATTCAAAAAAAATAATTTAAGTAATATACAAGTGAACTTGAATTGGTTGTGAAGTTCTTATTCAAGAAGCTATAAATGAATATACTATTCTATCTAAAAGAACAACCTCTTTATAATATGTTTAATTGATATTTTTATTTTTTTTATTCAGTTTTTTTTTAATTTCACATTTATGTATTTTTTTTTATTCTAAATTTTTTTTCTTTTTCACTACCTACTTTTTTGTTATTAACTTTGGTTTACTTTCTAAAGAAACCAAAGAAAACTAAGTGACTGATAGTAAGAATTGTATTTATAGACATTAAACATTATAATAATTAACTACAGCCGGACGGGTATTACTATAAATAAAGTAATGATAAGAAGGATTTGGGTAAGACGAATTTGATTAAAAGAGGCTAAGGTGTGAGGTTTTATAAGAGATTTACTAGTTAAGTCACGAAGACAACAAAGTTTCATCAAGAAACTCAACAAATTCACGAAGAACTTAATAACTTAATCTAGATCACAAAGTAGGGTTAATTATTAAGTAACTATAATACTGAGATCACGAAACAGGGTATTATCAATTAACAATTACTCTTATTACTAAGAAGAGAATAATAATAACAAAATTTGTCAAGATTATGAAGCAAGACAAATGACAAGAGAGTTTTTACTAAGAAAGTTACAATATAAATTATATAATTCATCAAGAAAGATATCAGTTTATAAACAGTATTTTTATTTTAAGTTATTAGAATATTTAATTTTATATCAACTGTTTCTTCAAGAGGAGCAGAAACAGCTTCTATTTATACAAAATTAGGATCGTATCGTAAACTATGATTATTAACTTCAAGAAAACTCTAGAAGTTTCCATAACATTTCAGCACGATTATTAATACTGGAAATAATTTACCTAGGTATTTTACTGATAGCTACCAGAGGTATTTTACCTCTATTACACAAATACTGATAAGGTGATACAAGAATATAAATATACTAAACTAAAAATAGATAAGATAATATATATATAAAATACTAATATAATACTAAAATAATAATAATAAAATACGTTATAATAAATATATATATATATAAAAATAAAGAAACAGGATTAACATTGTATACTTGGTTATCATTTTTCTGTTCATTTCTATTGTTCCATCTTTTTACCATATATTTTTTTATATGTTCATTATACATTTCACTATATATTCCATTGTTTTATCTATTCGTTATACGTTTTACCATTCATTTTGTTCCATTTGTTTTTACTTTAGGTATATGCTATAAAATTGTCACACTTAATTAGAAAAAGAAAACAGATTCAAATTTTATTTATTTTGAATTTAGGATTAAAAAAATTTCAATTAGTGATGCAGATAATGAAATTTTTCAGAAGATTTACAAATTTCCATTTCCTGTTCAATGCATGCTTGCTGATGAAACATGTGCTATTGAAAAAGAATAGAAAAAGGAAAAATTATATCTAACTTGGAATTGATATATTGTAACTATTTATTTTACCATAAATACTTACTTCCCTATTACCATATTTTTTATAAGCACATATATAGTACTGTGAAATTACTAATAAAAGAAACATGAACAAAATTTCAACAGGTGTTCAAGAAGAATGGATTTGAGATATATATATAATATAGATTAGTAGAGATAGATTTATCAGAGCAAATCAATGTAGAAAGAACTGCAGAAAATCAAAAGTTAACAATAAATGAATTAATGAAAAAAACTTGTAATACATATTGGAGAGTAGAAGAGAAGAAAGATAAAAAGTAAACAGGAGTATTACTTGAAAAATTAAAATCCTGTATAGAACCAATTTTAAATAATGTAATGATGAAAGAAAATTTATAAAAAAAATAATTTACTATAAATAAAAAAAAATTTTATTTATTTTACTACAATAATTTCTATTTATTTTACTATGATAAATAAAAGAAAATATAGTAAAATAAATTTAACATTTTCACGGCATCCGGGAACAAAACCGAATGACACATGATATTTTCTTTCATGTAATTATTTCTCGTGACCTTTATATCATGTGATGGACACGACCCCGGATTTGGGAAGATTATCAGGATCGCACCTCTTACCATCTACATTGAAATATACCAATTAGATAACTTTCTAGCATCTAATTTATTTCCAGAATATACATAAATATATTGCGTTATTCTTTGATTTGTAAATTTCTATAACTTTAATACTATAAATAATTATAACATTAAAGTTTAAATTCGAATTTCCAATAAATTTATGCCGATATGCTTGCACAAAATTTTTTTCTTTTGACTTGCCTATACAAACAAATATTAGTATTACCACGGGAATAATAGTCGATACTAAAAAAAATAAAAACAACTTTTCTTACCTGGTCATAGAACCGAGTTCGCTCGGATCAGTGTTTTTAGTGTAATTACCATATAAAGAAGACGTGATATATAATATCTTATTTATCACTTCTCAATTCATTGTAACTGAATAAAGATAATAATTTTTTTTTAATTGAACTCCCTTATTATGATTACACGTATATATTTAAATTAAATCATACTTTATATTTATGATATTTTATATTAATTTAATAAAGAATTAATTAAATTATTAATTATTGTCAATAAATTAATAAATGAATTTATTCTAAAACTTGATTTGATTTGATTTGATTTGATTTAGACATCTAGAAGATAAGAGTTACCATTTTTTAACTAATACAATAATAATAATTTTTTAACGATATGACTTTGTAAATGACTTTGTAATCGTGTATAATAATAATAATAATAGTAATGAAGAAGAAGAATAATAATGAAGAAGAAGAATAAGAAGAATGAGAATAATGGTAATAATGATGATGAAATAAGAATGATTTTTTTTTTATCTGAATAAAGTTCTGAATTCTAATATTTTTTATTTTTCCATTTTATAAATACAATAATTGTATAAAAAATGTAATTAATGGTGAAAGGAATGTAAAATTTGTATGTTTTTTTTTAAATAGGTTAATACATAATAGATTAAAAGGTTTCTTCTTCATATTCAATTTCTCCACCTGGTGCGCCTTCGGGAGGTGCCTCAAATCCTTCCTAAAAATTTTAAATGAAATTAAATAAAATTAAATAAAATTAATTAAATTTAAATATAATAAATTAATTTAAATATAATTTAAATTAAATTTAAATATAATTTAAATTAAATTTAAATATAATAAATTAATTTAAATATAATTTAAATTAAATTTAATAAAAATATCAAACTGAAATCAAATGAAGTTAATAAAATTAGATAATTTAAGTACCTCGCTTACCTCTGTACTATAGAGAATACTTTGGACATCTTTCAATAATTGATTTTCGGGTTCAATATCAATTTGTTGTTGAACCAAGATCTCGATATCTCGAAGTTTACCAAAATAAAAGTCTCGTTCCTTCTCAAGTCCATCTACAGTGACCTTAAGTTCATCTATTTGTTTGTTTAATTCCATCACCATCGAAGCTGAGTGACTACTGGTCTCATGTAATCCTGTAGCAACACGACCTTTTTAATTAAAAAAAAAATTATCAAAACGATCGAATTAATACGAATCAATACAAATTTATAATTGATGATATTAGTAACTTACTAGAACTAGTTGAAGCAGGAGTTGTTCGTTTTACAGGCATTGTTCTAGAAGCCCCTCCACCTGAAACTGTCTTTATGGGTCCTCCAGTAGAACCACTTCGTCTTGCTAATGCATCATAAGGACCACCAGGATAATAAGTATCCCAATATTTCTTCAACCATTGCAAGAATTCAAGATTATCCTGAAACTTGCATTTTACAAGTTTTGTAACTGGAATTACCTATGTTTATCATAAAAATAAAAATAAAAATAAGTTACATATATTATAACAATATATATATTATCAAAATTAAATCAAAGATTTGAATAAATAAATAAAATAAAGAATTTTTAATCAGATTTCTTCTTACTTTGTCCACCTTATGTTTGTCAAAAGCTGTCTGCAACACTTTATAATTAGCGACATACTCATATTCGTGTTTTGCCTGAAACTTGACTTTGTTCATTTGTACATCACCTATAAAATATAAATATGATAAATATGATATAAATAGTTAAAAAATATGATAAAAATATGGTAAAAGAAGCATATAATATGATAAAGAAAGGTATATAAATATGATAAAAATATAATAAATTTTGATCACATCTTATCTATTTAACTGTATCATCGAGATGGACAAAAAAAACATACCAAATATAGAATCGATGATTTGACAATGAGCCGCACCTATATGAAAAGAATCCAATATATAATTAAAAATAAACCTTTTCAAAGAGAAACACGTTCGTTAAACAAAAAGTAAACCTTACCTGTTCCACACTGTTCTACTTTAGTATAGCTGATTTGTAGCAGGTCGTTCAACCACGCCAGCAACTCAGTTCGCGATTCACCCATGGTTTATTATGAGTCTTTATATGATGAATGGTTTTAGTTGGAATCAAGATATCAAGATATTGTTGAAAAATATATATATATTGTATATATTGTTCAACCAAAAGAAGATGATTTGGAAATTTTTTCTGTTCGAATATAGTTGGTTCAATAAAACTTTTTTGTAAGTAACACCAAAAAATATCGATGTATCAGATATATCAGGTGATATCTACAACGAATCTCGTAAATGCAAGAGTTCGGGTTAGTTGATTACAGTTCAAGTTCCTCGGGTTCCTCCGATGAGGAAACATATAATGAGAAAAGCCAAAGATTTATTAATAACGGAAAAAATGAAATTGATAATGAAATAAATGTACGATTAAAAAATGGAAATAAAAAAAATAATAATGAAATAGAATCCAATAGAATTTTTATTGAGCAAAAATTCAGAGAATTAACGAAAAATAATGCTGACTCAGGTATAATTAAGAGTATTCAAAGTGCCAATAGTACTCAAATTATTGACAAGATTGTTAGTAATGAAAAAAAATTGAAAAGAAAGAGAGAAGTTATAGAATCCAAGTAAGCAATGGCCACTTAATAAAAGTACTTGTTAAATATATATTTATTTATTTAAATTATAATATTACATTCAATAATAATAATTCTCTCAAAAAAAAAGTGTAAAATCAAAAAAATTACCACCTTTACCATCCGAATTTTTGGAACTTTATCAAGGTAAATTTTATCATGAATTTTTATATTTTAATGAAAGATTCATTATTTCTTTCAATAATTATAATTTTAATTATAAAATTAATAAGATGATGAACGAAAAAAGTTTAAAAAATATTCAACAACAATTCCTTCACCCATAACATCATCAATTCCTCAAAGTCACAAGAATATAGAAGGAAATTGGGCTACCCATGTGTATATGGAAGGTATTTCTTGATAATAGAAAACCATTTTATTATTTTTTTATATATTTACATTCTAATTACAAGTATATTAATTAAAGTGTATATTATATTTAAAGTGTATATTATATTTAAAGTGTATATTATATATTATATTATTAAACTGTATATTTATATCACAGTTGTAATACCTGACGAATTTACAGAATTACTTCGTAAAATAGAAAAAAGTGTACAAAATGTTATTTTGGATGATGATATTTATTCATGCATTGATGAAATTAATGAAGATTTACCATTTAAAAATTCAAAATTACATATTAGTTTATCTAGACCTATATTTTTAAAATATTTTCAAATTGACAAATTTTGGGATAAGTTAAGGAAAGGATTTGAAGATCAAAAAAAGTAAAAATTTTTTTACCATTATCTCTGTTATATGTTAGAAATTATTGGATAAACCAATAACAATTTTTGAACTTAAAATAATACTTGTATATAATAGGTTTACATTATCATTCTCAGGAATTGAATATTTAGTAAATGATGCAAAAACAAAATCATTTCTCACTTTGGAAGTTGGTAAAGGAATTTATGAGGTACTATTACTCTATTATGAATTTTCATTTCAATAATAATAATGATAATAACAATAATAATAAATTTCTTATTATTTAGTTAAAAAAATTATTAGAACATGTTAATAAAGTAGCAAAAGAATTTCGACAACAGGAGTTTTATGAGGTAATATATTCTAATTGATTTTATTTTCACTAATTAATTTAATTAATTTATTTTTATTTTTTAAAGAAACCCCGATTTCATGCAAGTATATTATGGTCAGTAGGTGAATCAACTATAGATAGAACATTACGAGACATAATAAAGAATGAAGATTACGAATCTATAATAAGAGATTTTGTGTTTGTTATTAAAAGAATGGTGTGTGGAATTGGAAATAAATCATTCTTTGTTGATTTGATGTGATTAATTCCTCCCATCACAAAAATAAATTAAATTAAGAATAAAAATAAAGAATTAAAAATTTTTCCAAGTATACAATTTGTTGTAAACAAATAATAGGTTATTTCCTAACTTATTGAACCTTAAAATTACACCAGATTAACAAAAAAACTCAGAAAATCTGTTAAAAAAATATGTCATCCTTTTTTTACATTAGATTTACTGTGTTGATTTTTTTTTTAAAAAAAAAATTGAAGATAATTTTTTTAGCTCAAATCTGTCAAAAACATTCAAAAAATGACATTGTTACACAAAAGTTCACAATCTATTCAAAAAATTTGCAATATTAAAGACTTGAAAAAATTCATTGGTTGAAATTCTATACAATACTATAGTGGGAGATATTAACATGTATGGTTAATACAATCATGAGTTATGTATCAATTGTTTTAAAGAATTTTGAAATTAAGAGTAAAGTTAATAATTTTTATAAATTTTGATCAAAAAATCATCTTAATATAACTGAATATCAAATTAGCACTAATCATATAAAAATTATATACTTTAAAATACTTATATCTTTTAATCTACATCAGGAAATTTTTGGGAGCAAATATATTCAAATATTTTTTGGTTTAGAAAAAATTCAGATAAATTTATAAATTTATATAAATATATTTGTATATATTCAGATTTTTTTGATTCTCAAATTTTTGAAATAAATATATTCAGATATTTTTCGATTTAAAAAAATCCAAATAAATTCATGAATTTATGTAAATATATTCACATATATTTGGATTTTTTTGATTCTCAAATATATCTGGATATATTCACCTATCAGGAAATTTTTGTGAGCAAATATATCTAGACATTTTTTGGTTTAGAAAAAATTTGAATAAATTCACAAATTTATGCAAATATATTTATATATTGGATTTTTTTGATTCTCAAATATTCAGATATATTTGAAAATTATTTGAAAAATTTGTAGGATATTTAATGAGAAATAATATTGAAATCTTATTTTTAATTCTTTGAAGTTATAATCTTTAACAAATTTTTAGATAGATAAAGATCTATTTAGTTCTAAAAAAATCATTGAATAAAAAACATACTAATAATTTATTTTGTTCATTTAGTTTTGTAAATTTATGTTTTATTTATATTATATTCGTTTTTATTTACATTATCAATTATTTTTTATTATTAATTATTTTATATTATTTATAGATTATCATCATTTTCATCATTATCATTATTACTATCATCACTATAATCGTTATCATTATTATTGTTATTTTTTTTGGATTTTCTTTTATTTTGAAAAGTTACGGTTTGTTTTACTTTTTTTTTTTTATTTATTATTTTTTCTAATCTTACTTGTGTTTCGCCAAGAGTTGAAAATTCTATATCATCATTTATTTGATTTTTACCAATTATTTAATTTTCATCAATCATTTGATTTTTACATTTTTTTTCAAAAGTTTCAAGAATTTCTTCTAACTCATTAAAGTCATTAGGGACGTATCAGAAATCAGCTGATTTGAAAGGGGGTGGGAGGTCAGAGTATAACAGAAATTCATTTTTTTGATGATCATATTATACAAATTTTTATATAATAAATACATATGATTTTCATTATCATATAAGCGTCACATTAATAATTGTAATCTTGAGTCACAATACTTTGTAAGATCATTCATCTACTTCTTTTCTAACAAAATTTACATGAGCATCAAAATTATACATGAGATACCTTAGAGGCTAATTTAAAAATAATAAGTAATTAGACCTGTTATAAAGATAAAAAATAATAAATTTTTATATTTATTGCAATTATTGTAAAATTAACCTTCTCTAAATATAAATTATTTTAATAAATTTTTATGCTTATTACAATTATTATAAAGTCAACCTTCTTTAAATATTTCCTAAATAAAATTACAATTTATATAATATATATTTAATAAATTTAAAAATTTGTGAATATATACTTCTCTACTTGTAAAGAGTTTTATTAATAAGTTTCGTTATTGATACATTGGATTAAATTATTATTTGTATTTCAGAGTTATATATTTATAATTTTAGTTAATTATATTCTATGTAGATCACTTTAATTAAAAGGAACTTCTGTCATACTGAAAGAGCATAGTGGACATTTGATTTTATAGGTTAAAATTTGTGATGTTTATGAGGGATTATCATATAAAAAATTAATTTTTATTAGTTAAAGGTCATTGTATATGATATTACACATGATATATTTTTAATTAAAAAAATGAACATTTTTTTATTTTTAATAAAAAAAAATTATTCTTTGTTTCTTTATTTAACTTAAAGTTTTTTTAACAAGAAAATAATTTTTATTTTTATTAAATAATATTTTTTTTTGTCTTTTTTAATAAAGATAATTTTTTTTATAATTTTTAATACTATAAAAAATTAAGACAAGTAAATTTGTAAAGTATAAAATAAAATAAATAAATTAATAAAATTTTTTAACAAATATAAATAAAATCTT